TTACTGTAGGTGAACCTGCCGTAAGATCAAGTTACAAACGACCAGTATAGGATTATTCTTATACTGGTTGTTATTTTCTTTTTAAGAAAAACAAACAGTTACAGATGGATGTACAGAACGACATACAAAATGTCAAAAAATTAGATTGGACTAACACAAAAGTCATTTTAGGATTATCATTGTACTTAATAGGATTATTTTACTTAATAGCAGGCATAAAACCGATTTTAGATGGCATGGCAGAAAAAAGAGAATTTCTTAATTTAGGTTTCTTGGCTTTAATCATCTTCTTTATGATGGCTGCATTTAAAATGAAGAAAAACAGCCATTATTATCTTTGGGCATCAGCGTTTGGGCTGGTTTTATACTCAGAGACAATGTACTGGTTTTATGAAGACATTGTATTTTAATAAACATATTTTTAAAAGTTTATTTATAATCTCAAGTAGCTAGCTACGTCTAACAATTCAGTGGTTTCATCTTCAGAGACGATAAATCCAATTGAGTTGTTCAGTTTATAATTCATGAATTCAATACATCTTTTAAGTATTTTACCTTTTATAGGTAGTTCAATTATTTTTGTTTTGTATTGTAAGAATTGGTGCTTAGGACTTATAAAGGTCTTTATTGTTTCTGAAAGCATTGCAACATTCTCATCTAAGTCAAAAACTTTTCTATCTGAGCTTATCAATCTAACTGTATTATTTTTTCTACGTTCAGGATTTCTCATGCTATGTGTTTTGATATCTTTACTTTTAAATATATTTGTTTTGAATTTATTTAAACAAATATAAAGATGTTTTAACCTTCTTAGAAACTGCTATATTGTTCTTTATTTTATTTATACTTTGTATCTTTAAACAAACAAACTTTTTTTGATATGAATTTTAAAAGTTTTAACGCGAAACTTCATATACCGTTTAATCCAGCTGGTGATTTATATTCACAATTATATGACTATTCAAAAAGTAGATTATTTACATACTGTGATGACATACAAGGTTATATTTTAACTATCCGTATTGAAGAATTAAATCAATTATCTAATATCTTGGATAACGGGAATTGTCTGGTAGAAACTTATATAAACGGAGAATCTTTGAGCCTGAAAGAAGGTGATGTTATAAAAGTAGAAAATGGTGTATTTTTGAATTTTATTAAGTGTGTGAATGTAAATAATGAAGTTAGTTCTATTACAGGTGCTGTTAAAGTAATAAAGATAAAAAACTTTCCAGAGATTGTTGTGGAAGAAATTAAACAAGAATGAGATAATTAAATTTATTTGCAATTTGTTTATTAATTTTTCTTATACTTTACTAAAGTTGGGTAAATAAAGTCAAAAGCTGTATCAATATCTGCTTTAAACTTAGCCCCCGTTAAAACAATCTTTCCACTAACAAAAATCAGTAAAACAATCCTAGGTTTAACCATTCTATAAATAAGACCTGGAAACAATTCGGGCTCATAGGAACAGTAATTAGAATGTGAATAAGCTAAACCTTCTAATTTAATGTTAAATTTAACATCACACGAACCCACCATGTTCTGTATTTTAAAGTCAGAAAACTCGATAGGATAT